GCAGTTTATTGTTAATGTATCAAATGCATCGGTAAGTTGAAAAGAGTTAACTGCTTTGATGAGGAGTCGATTACCTTGCTCCAGATAGTATTATGGGAATTGAAAATATAAAGGGGTAGTCGATTGCTTTCTTGGTGGAATCAACTGCTCTGTATGAAAAATTAGAATTTCCTAAAACGTGAAAAATAGTCTATTTCGATATGAAAATTTAATCAATTTAATAAATCAATTTGTCCTTAATTATTCAAAAAGACATTTTCCTAATAAAAGAAAGTGATTTTTAATTGAAACAATATAATCAAAGTCGCAACCTTAAAATTAAATCCTTATAAATAAATATTGTTGTGAGCTCATTTAAGACATTCAAAAAATTCAATTTCTTCTTATCTTTTCTCCCATTTATTTCAAGATAAAAGCTTGTTTTTTTGACATGATTTGCTACAGAAAATCTTGTTAAAGACAAGGTATTTCTATCTTTCATAGACTTTTAATGGTTTGGTTATTCTAGTGCAAAGTAAACCAAAAATAAATTTTATTATATCTTAAAGACTATTCTTGATACAACTTTTTTTGCATACTATTATTGTTAAGGTGAAAAAAACTTGAACCAAATGCTCCCCAAGAACAATGATCTTAGTAGCACCCCTTGAAATCATTTTTATTCGTGATTGAAGTTCCGTTTGCTCTACTAAATTTGCCAAAGATAGGCTAAAAACAATCACAAGTTGTGCATCACAGTACATATTATTGTTTGAATTCTCAAAGCCTTGATTTACTATATTTGTTCAATTTAAAAATTAAAGATCAAAATAAATTCCATATAAAAAGATTAGGTCTACAAATGCACTTTACTTCCCTTCTAATATCATATTACTGGTATTGAGATTTAGTAGCCAGTGGCCTTTTATTAGTAAAATCAGGAAAATGGACATACACGGGAAATCAAGGAACCAACTCAAAATTTGTTCATACTATTAGCAGCCAGTGGCCTACATCCCAAACAAGGAATCCACCATTCAATAAACTCCAAAAAATTTTGGTGGCAAACCTTAGAAGTGGAGTGGAGAATTAATAGCTTCTTGAAATATGATTCCCAAGTCAAAAAGTTTAAAAATAATTGAGGGAAATTGCTCAACAATTAATTAGATTTTAAGATTCAAACATGAAAATTTTAGGTTTCAATCTTGAAATTAGTGACATGAAAGTGAAATTTTATGAATTTAACCAATAATTTAATAAAATCAATTACTAAACGGAGTTTATATAATTTAATATATTACTCACAACATCGTTTTTTCCTTTTTCTACATTACTGGTAGTTTTAGAGTGTATTTATTGAATAGCCATTGACCATAAATATATCAACGGAAGTGAAATCTACATCAGCAGCCAAAGTAGAAAATTTTTCTACTGGGCGGTAGGGGATGACACAGTTGAGGATTAGTTGTTGCCTTGGATGCGGTAATTATTCATTGTAGTTTTTTTTTTTTCAACACCTGTTTCTTTTTCTAGCACGAGGAACGACGGATCTACGACAACAATTGCTAACAATTACATTCTTTGTTTTGAAAAGGTCTTCACCATGTTGTTTATCTCAAGCATTTCAGCGGCCTTGGCAATTGCTAATGTCGGCAAGAAAGGAAATCCTAATGCAGGTTGGTTACTCATCTTGACCAAGTCACCAAGTACTGCAACCAAGTAAAAGGAGCATTAGATGTTGGCTTCATCAGTGTCATTATCAACATTTGGCTCCTCCTCTATTCTGTTGAAAAGTCTTAATTACACACAGGTTCAAGTGTGGGCTTTCTTGTTCTATCTTTTGGATTATTTTTATTTCAAATATCTTTTTGTTAATTATACTAAACCTGTTGTGCATCCTCAACCAAATATCAGACTGTGTCAGAATTTAGATGATATACCTTATTCACTAGCTTGGAAAAGACAGGTCTTTGATCCCCTAATTAACACCATAATTCTTCATCATCCATATGTTGAGCAAAGGATCCTGTGATTTATCAGATATTCTCTGACTCCCCTAATTGCATGCAAGCATGATAGTAATAGCTGTTTACGTCGATCAATAAATCCCAAACCAGGAATTTCAAGCAGAGATAGTGCAGGAGAATTGGATCCCAATTCTCATATTCAATTTTAAAAGCACAAATCCATATAGGGAATTTCTCATCGTTCATTTTAAAAAAGCAAATCTAGTTAAGAGCTTCACTGCAAGGCATCTTTGCAAATCAAGCGTTCATAATGTGCGACTGGTACATCTTCTGTTGTTCTCCAAGAGTTATTCCAAGCGTATTAAACCTCACATATTGCTTTATTTCAAATATCCATACTTCTATATGTAACCATTCTAATCCCTTGGACAAAACCTAAACCCTGATAAAGAGCTATAATCGATTCGCTGCCTTTATATTTGGCATTGAGAGAGTAAAAATCTTCTGGATAATTGATTGACAAACAAAGCAAGCCAATGAATGAAGCCACCACCAGGGATGGTACACCAACAGTACCATGCATATTTTATCAGCATTGAACCTTGACATTTTCCTCTTGCTGAAGTCTTTTTCAAATTCAATCAACTAATAGCGAGGGAATCTGCAAAGCATTAGGTTTACTGACAATTGGCAAGGTGAATTTGAGTAAAACAAGGGTCTAAGAGTACATTGCGCCATTCATTGCAAACGTGCAGTTTTACAATGGATTTGTTTTTGACAGGAAACCTTGAAAGTATGTTGACAGTGATATGAGATGGTAGTTTCAAAATATTTTCATCAGCTTTTGATGGCTTGTGTCACTTGACTCCTATTCCCATTAGTATAACTCCCTCTTAAATTTAGCAGGCAAAAGGAGGAAAAAAATCTGATTAAAAAGGGTAGTTATTTTATTTCTACAATGTGGCAGATCAACAACAAGGAGGACATCATACAAACCATTACAACTGTTACCGCCGCTAGCTGAACCGTCAAAGACAAAATAAAACCTAGACTTTTTTGGTTGACCTTTGTAAACGTAAGGAAGCATTGCAAATAAGTAGAACAAGATGTGTCAAAAGACGACAAGAGAAAAATTGGAATAACCTTGAAGTATTGAGTGCAACAGCAAATGGTGGTAGATGATCAAGCAAGATTGAATAGGAAAGATAATAAGGCCAAGGAAAAGATTTAGAAATAGAGATTTGCAGAGAGAATTGAGTGATTTTGCCAAAAGTCTCAAAAAATCTCTTAATAAACTTTGAAAACTCTTATTTATAAGTTTCAAGAATAAAAATTTCATGTCTTTGAGTATTGTATAGTAATAATAATGAAAACGACAATTATAAAATGTGTTAATATATTAAATATGAATAATAGTAAATAATAAAGAAATTGACTGTTACAAAAAATTTTAATATATTGGTTGGTAAGAGTTTAATTAATTTTTTGGTGATAGATATAATAAATATAGAAGTTCATTATCAATTTTGAAAGAAAAGCAAGAGTACTCATATTTCAAAGAAAAATTAAGAGAAAACTTCTTAATTATCTCTATATCTGGTCTATCAAGTTAGAAAATCCAAATAGTAAAAATAAGCTAAAGACCTTGTCATATTTAGGAATTGTTCTTACTTTTTCTTTTTGTAGAGTAATAATCAGTAAAGTATATTTTGAGAAATAACTCTTAATGAAATAACTTTTGATGAAAGAATTTTTAATAAAAGTATTGATGTTATTTATTAAGGAAGTTATTCTAAAAACAATTGTTCTATGAAAGTGTTGTTTCGTGAAAAAATTATTCTTTGAATAGTTGTTTCGTAAATAATTGTTCCATAAATAATTGTTCGTAAAATAATTTTCATTGAAATAACTTTATTATTAGTTCTTGTTAATTTTTAATTTTAACAACTTTAAAAAAATTTTAAAAAATAAAATATTAATAATCAAAATCAAGTATTTACGTCCTTTAAGAAAATAATCTGGGGTTACAGGTATGATATGGTATCTCATTCAGCCTATCAAAAGTATTACTCAAACTTAAATACATTTACATAACTTGAATTGGACAGTGAATTAATGATCATGATGTTTCAACTTATTCAACCTCTTCACAGTACTTATTATATCATACACATAGACTGACCAACATTGATATGGCCCTACTTCTATCATTGCTTCTATTCACCAAAAATTTACATCTAAATCGGATTTAAACGTCTTCTCAATCTCTCTACTCCTTTAAACCCATGGCAAAATTCAAAAAGCTTAAACAGAAAGAGGAATCAAAACTATACGAAACAACTAATCCACCGTCCAGCAAACCAAAACTACATATTGGTAGTATGCAGTAAGTCAAGTACTTATCAAATTCAAAACATTGAAATAACTTATCTGGGTATTGCTGAAACCATATCAACAAACCAAAAGAGCAAATCAACACCTAAAATCATTGAAACAAAACAAAACTACATGAAAACCCAATACAAAAGAAAAATGAAATAATCGAATAGAAAACAGAACCATAAGTATACTAATATAGTTGAAAACAACAACAGGAAATAGGAAAAACAAATGAAAGAAGATAAATTGAAATTATCAAAAAAAAAAAAAACCAAACAATTTCAATTCAATGTCAATGTCAACAAATTATACACCAATTGTTCAAATCCTAAAGATTACATTCTATTATTGTAATAGATTTTTTTTTTTTTGTGTGTGATTGGAGAATGAGAGAGGATGGGTTGAAAGATATAACTAATTTAATATGAGAAACAACCATAAACAAATAGAAATAAAAAATAAAGCGTCATAAAAACAAATGTGAAAGATAATATTAAAAAATGAGAACAGAAACAAAATGGAGGGCTAAATGTGCAAAAAATAATAATACAAATATGAAAATAGAAACAAAATGGAGGGGTACATGTGAAAAAAGAAGAAAATGGTCGGCGAAGGCTCATCCTTATCTAATTCCAACACAAAAATCCCCTATTTCGGCAACGTTTCTCGACTCCCGCATATAAAAATTAAAGGAAGTTTACAAAAGTGAAAAAACTTGAAGGAAATTTCCTTTTATTTGCTTCGCGGACAAGCTAGCTAAAACAGTAATCTTTCTCTTTGTTATCATTTTGTTTTTCTTCACCTCTTCTCGAAATAGAAATAAAGGGCGAAAATCTTTACTTCTTCTTTCTGTCTTGAGAAAACTAATTTTACTGTTTCGATCTGTGATAAGTCTGTTTTGGGGAAAATGGCTTCTGGATCATCGGGTCGGGCCAACTTGGGTGGTTCCAAAGGGTTCGATTTCGGGTCCGATGATATTCTTTGCTCGTATGAGGACTATGGGATCCAGGAATCGTCTAATGGTAGCCACGCCGAATCCGTAATCGGTACCAACAGCTCCACCAAGGTATATGTTGACGCTTTAACTGGGATATTTGTAGGACTTTCCTCTCTTTTTTGGAGGGGGATTTGATCTGATTAGGGTTTAATCGGGAGGTTGATATATATATATATATATATATTCAATGTAAAAGAGCTTTGTTTCTGTGGCAAATTTAGGATTTTTTTAATCAGAGATCTGGTTGATCGATTGTTCACCTTAAATTACTAAATTTTGGGATTTTCCATTTTTTATTGAAAATAATTGTAATTTTACGGGAAGATATAAGTGTATAAAATGAATTTTGACATTCTATATTCCTTTCTCTTTTATTGCTTTAGCTTATTTATTTTTGCTGGGGTGTTGGTGGTTGTAGGGATTTTCTTTATTTTAGAAACAGAAAAAAATATTGACAACTTGTCTCATTAAATTTGATTGCGACATATTGAGCTGAGATTAATTAGAGATGAAGTTAGGCAAATAGTTATAATTTTATCAGGGTATTTGTTCTTGGTGTTACAAAGCTTTTACATGATATGGTTCCATAAACTTCCTCCCTTTTGGTGAGAAATAGAAAACGTTGGTTCTATGGCATTGCTTACATGATTTTATAGCGGGTACTAGAAAATGAAGAAATTGTTTCCCACTTGCAGAAAGCAAAACCTTGTGATGGCTCAAGCTTAATATAAATAGAATGGAGAGAAACTTCATTGTACGCATTCATGCATGTTACAAGTTATATCACATTTTCACGTGGTATATTGTAGTATTTCTAAGTTTGAATTTGGGAGAACATATTTTGATCCAACAGTTAACTACGTTAGTTTTTACTCAAATAAATACTCATACCTTAATGACATTCTAGAGTTATTGAAAAATCAGCTATGGATATGTGGTTTGGTTACTGTTGGTGGAGAGGGAGGTCAAATATACCGTTTTTGGGTTTTTATTATTGTCTTTACGGTTGCATTACATATTCTATCTATTCTGGGGAAAAATGAGGCAAGCTTTTTTTTCTTGTACAAATTTTTTCCCCATTGTGTTCCCAACCAAGTGGTGTTTATTGGTGCCTTTTGCTTCAAGAGTAAATAATTAATTGTTTTTGTCATACCGACCTCTGCAGGATTTTCACAAAGGCAGAGGGGCACGATCGATATTTCCACCTAATGCATACAGCCAGCCAGAAGATTCTTTGGCTGATGTGACTGCTACTGTTGAAAAAACCATGAAAAAATATGCAGACAACCTCATGCGCTTTCTTGAGGGAATAAGTTCAAGATTGTCACAGTTGGAGTTATATTGCTACAATCTCGATAAATCGATCGGAGAAATGCGATCTGATTTAGTTCGTGATCATGGAGATGCAGATTCAAAGCTTAAATCTATTGAGAAACATCTCCAAGAGGTCAGTACCCCTAGAACTTTCTACATTTTCTGGTAAGGTGGATTTTCAGCAATTAGTGGCTCTAAGATACACCACATCTTGACTTTTGGGTTTTCTTTTTTTTTAACCCTTTGAAACCTTGAGATGCTTTATGGTCCTTATTTTACTTTACAGCAAACATGTATTTACCTTTGGCTATCTATCATCTAACACAGAGCAATAGAATGCATAAGAAGTACATTAATATGGATCAGAAAAAGTGCTAGTATTGAGTCCCAAGTGTTATATCAAATGGATTTAAAACTTCAGTTTCTGTTGTTGTTAACAGTAAAATTTGCTTTGTAAAAATTTTTCTTGAAACAATGAATATTTTAGGCTCAGATGCAGGTTCATTATGCAAGGATCTGCATGTTTTCAAATTTCTAAAAGCAAATGCCCTGCAGAGAAACCACTCTGGGATTACATACATGATCTATTTTCATGGCCTATTTAAGAAAGACTAGATATGTATTACAGAAGTGAGCTCAGATTTTCTGCCAGCTGGGCTTCAGTCCCATTATCTTGCTTGTTTTTTTTTTTCTTGATGATTACATTAATAATAGTGTGTTGGAACCATTCTATTTCGTGCAAGATATTTACTTCTTAAGCATTCAATGCACATTATAGGTCCACAGGTCTGTGCAGATCCTCAGAGATAAGCAGGAGTTAGCTGATACTCAGAAGCAGTTGGCTAAATTACAACTTGTGCAGAAGGAGTCTTCTTCCAGTCATTCACAATCCACTGAGGAGAGGGCATCACCACCTGCCTCTGATTCTAAAAGGACTGATCACATATCTGAGATGCGAAACCAGCAATTAGCTCTGGCTCTGCCTCATCAAGTAGCACCACCACAAAACCCGGTGGTGCCACACTCTCAAGCCCCACCTCAGAATTTGACCCAACAAACCTACTACATACCTTCAAACCAATTATCCAACGCCCAAGCTGCAGCCCCTAACCAACCTCCACTTCCAGCACAAGCCCCAGCACCAGCACCAACCCAACACCCTCAGAGTCAATATATACCTTCTGATCCTCAATACCGAACTCCTCAGATACAAGACATCTCTAGGATGTTACCACAGCCTACACAGTCCCAAGTAAATCAGGTACCACCTGTCCAATCATTCCCTCAGTATCAACAGCAATGGTCACAACAATTGCCACAGCAAGTATTGCCGCAGCAGCAGTCCTCCATGCAACCACAGATGAGGCCCCCATCAACACCAGCTTACCCACCTTACCCTCCTTCTCAATCAACAAACCCATCTCCGCCAGAGGCATTACCAAACAGCATGCCTATGCAAGTTCCATATTCTTCTGGAGTTCCTCAACCTGTGTCTAGCCGTGCTGATACCATTCCTTATGGATATGGAGTGCCTGGCAGAAAGGGCACTTTTGGTGCACAACCAGCTGATGTGTACATGTCTACTGGCTCCCACCCTCCCCTTCCTCCAGGAAGTGCATATATGATGTATGGTAGTGAAGGTGGTAGAACGCATCACCCACCCCAACAGCCTCACTTCTCACAGGGTGGGTATCCCCAAGCAAATGTCTCTATTCAGACGCAACCTGGCACTGGCCCCAATGTTATGATTAGGAACACCAGCCATTCACAGTTAATTCGCAACCCTCCCTACAATGATTTGATTGAAAATTTGGTGAGCATGGGTTTCAGGAGTGATCATGTTGCCAGTGTGATTCAGAGGATGGAGGAGAGTGGCCTGCCGGTGGATCATAATGCTGTGCTTGATAGGTTGAATGTGCATTCCTCTGGAGGTTCTCAAAGAGGAGGATGGTAAAGGCCATTGCATACCTGAATCGACCTTGAATATTGTTTGAATAAAGGGTCGTTTTTCTCCTTGTATATCCTGGGAGGAATATGAGTATTTGTATGTTACCTCCTAATGCAACTTCTGGTGGAAAGTGTTACGTTGTTTGGGTTAATTGCAGTATATTACTCTGCCCTTTTACCCTGTTTATCTTAATGCTTGTGGTGATGCTGTTGAATGTAAATTATGTAGTACTTTCTCCACTCTTCAATCTGCAGAAACGGCAGTCACTCAATCATCAACAGCTTTGCAAATATCGTCGGAGTACATATCTATTTGCATATATAGAAATAAAGACACCCGTGGGCAATATCATTCGAGTGAACGTAATAAAGTCATCGGTTGATGTTTATGTATATATTTCGCGAATTGCCGGAACTTGAACTCCGATCTCTGGGGTGAAAGCCGACTAACCAACTAGACTAAAGAATGTCAATCATTCAGAAAAATGAAAACAAATGATATTAAAGGATTAAACTCTTTGTAAAACTTTTGTTAGAAATTAAACCCAAATTTCGGGTTTTGATCGGACAAGTACTCTTAATTGTAAAGCTGGAGATAACATGACAATTCTACTTGTGTGCTAGTGGGTTGTTGGGTACATGTTTTTTTGCAGATATCTGAGTGCTTTAAAAAGGTTTTTTTTTTTTTTAATAAACAAGTCTAAAAATAGCGAGAATCCTGCCATCTAAGACTAAAGCTGGAACAAGTGTATTAAGCAAGAAAGAATAATGAATCAATCAAAGCAGGCCAGGTTCTGATCACCTAATAATAAAGGACCTAACCTTCGACTTTTTCTAATTGGAAAGCTCCCCGATCCTAGTGCCGTTTATTAGATTTTTTTTGAAGTACAGTAATTTGAGGATATAAAAAAGACAATAAATAGAGGGATAAATATAAAAATGTTTTGAATTATACACTTTCTGGTTAGTTGATAGATAAAAAAATAAAAATTTTTAGTTTAGTATTTGAATTTTTGTTCCTTCATCAATTTAGTACCTTAGATTAATATGTTTAATTCACTTATTGATGTGACATAAATATTTAATTAAATCTTGATATATTTTCAAAAAATTTAATTAACATTATATTATCAATTATCGTATTAGTATTAAATAAAAAATCAAAAAATATTTAAAAATTCAAAGAAAATTTTTAAAGATTTTTAAAAATCTAAAATATTTTAAAAAATTAAAAAAATGAAATATATTTCAAATTGTAAATTTAAAATATATATATATATATGACAACTTAAAAAGTTTTTAAAAATCTCAAAATTTTAATAAAAATTTTTAAAAAATTCAAAAAAATCTAAAATTAAAAAAATAAAAATTTTAATAGGAATAAATTTTTGTTAAAATAAAATATTCAAAAAAACTTAAAAAATAAAAAATAATGTAATTTTTTTAAAAAAATCTAAAAATTCATCAAATAAATTCTTAAAAATTTTAAAAAATTAAAAAAATAAAAAATTTCAAAAAATTGAAATATTCTAAAAAATTATAAAAAAAAATTTCTTGAAAAATAAAGAATTAAAGAAATTAAATTTTTAGTAAAAAATTAATAAAAATTCATAACCTACATTAAAAAAATTAAAATTATAAGATAAAAAAAGAAAAACTTTCATAATTTTTAATTTTTTTAAAATTTTTGCTTTTTGAAAAAAAATAGATTTTTTATTTTAAAATTGTTTAATGTTTTTTGTGAATTTTTTTCAATTTGAAGAAAAATTTATTTTTATTATTTTATTTTTGAAATTTGCAGATTTTTTTGCATTTTTTGAATTTTTCATTAAAATTTTGAGTTTTTTTAGTTTTCATAAAATTTTAAATTCTTTTAAATATTTCAATTTTTCATTTTTTTTATAATTTTTTAAAAAAATTTTAAAAAAATTTTTAAAAATTTTCTTCTTAGCATTGACCTTATAATTGATGATGTGATGTTGATTGAAATTTTTTATGTTTATTAATATTTTATTAAATGCTTATATCACGTTAGTAAGTTGATTGAATATATTAATTTTAAATACCAAAATAATTAATGAATGAAAGTAAAAATATTAAATGGATAATATTATTTTTTGAGATATTAAATTGATAAAAAAATATATAATTTAGGAATCAATTTTATATTTAATTTATAAATATAAAATATAAAATTTATTAAATATTATTTTTTAAAAATAATCGAATATATTTTTTTGAACTAAACTAAATCTGAATCTGTTATGAATTGGATTTCAATTCTAATAATAATAATAATAATAATAATAATAATGTTAGTAGCGTGTGATTTGGTGCCTTGACAAACTTGTAATTGGGTTGTGAAGGAATCAAATATATCTTTCTCACCTAAATCATAAAAATCCGCCATTAATAAGAAAATGAAGAAAAGTAAGGTGATGACTTTATTGCACAAACCGGTTTAGCTGGCACCTTCTTTAATAGTATTTTATTAATTCTTAACTGAAATAAAAAATTAAAAAATAGTTTATTAATTCTACAAAATGTTGATAGGAAAAGGTAATCATTTCTTCTAAGTAACACCATGTGTTAGTGGGGGTACCATTTGCATATTTACCTAACATTATGCCTTCTCTTTCTCCAAGGCCTTGAGCCTTAACTACTAAAAATGGCGTATTATAATTATAGGTTGACTCAATTAATTAAAATATATATTTTTTTGATAAAAAATTTTAAGTTTAAGTTTTATTAGCGATTATTTATTAAAATTATTTTAAATATATGATTTATAATTATTTATTTTAAATTATTAAATATGACATATTTTATTTTAATTTAAAAGAATTAAATAATTTATCTATTTCAAATTTTTTCTTTAAAAAAAATCTTATTATTTATTCTTTTATTATTGTTTTCTTCTTTTTATTCTAATTTCAATTACAATTACTTATATAATAATAACAATAATAATAATAATAATAATAATTATTATTATTATTATAACACTCATTTCGTCTCATCTTATACGTTATTTTGTTTTCAAATTTTCACTTTTATTAAAATTTTAATTTTTCATAAAATTAACTTTCAATAATTTAAAATACACTAAAAATAAAAAATTATACTAATATAAACTCTAATATCAAATTTTTGGTACATTCAAACAAATGAACCAAAAATAAAAATATATAAGAAATATTACTTTTCATGTCAGTAAAAGGAATAAATGTTACAATAGTACTCATAAGCTATACAGGTTTAACTTAAATAAAACTTAAATTAGATTCGATTATTATTCAATCAAGCTTGAACTTTAGTAGTTTGATTTATTGATCAAATCGAATTTGAGTTTTTTTATACTAGACTCAAGTAGCTCGCGAACTTAATCGAGCTTTTATATTTTTAATATATTTTTATTATTTTAATAAATAAAAATATTTCACACTCAAATTCAAATTTGAGCATAAATAATCGAACTTTTATTGAATATAAGAATTAAATTTATTTTTATATATTAATCGAACTTAATCAAATGAGCTTGATTTCTATCTCGAGTTAAGTTTCAACTAAAAAAATAAAATTTGATCATATTTAAACCGAGTTTCAAATTTCAAATTTCGAGTTAAACTCAAACTCAAACTTAATACTATATCAATTTAAATTCGACTGATTACACCCTAATGTCAATGAGTCTTTTAACTTAGTGGCAACGAAGAAGCCTTAAAAATATGAAATTTTAAGTTTTTGTTTGTCTCGAAAATTGACTTCTAAATTTATATTTTTTGAGAAAATAGAGATTTTATATTATTTAGATGGGTAAAAAAATTTTGTTTTTTTTATTTGATTGTTTTATAAAAAATTTATTTTTTAAATAATATTGACATAAAATATTAAAAAAAATTATGATTAAAATATATTGAAATTATTTACTATAAAAATTATTAATATTCAAAAAATTTATATTTTAATAATAATATTTAATATTAAAATATTATACTAATATAAAACACTTAAAATTAATTTAGTTATTATTTGTTTTAAAATTTTAAAATATTTAAAATAATATAATTATTCTTAAAATATTATTTTATTAATATAATAATAGTAATATTTATTATTTAATATTAATTATTAAAACAATATAATATATTATTATTTATTATTAAAATAATAAAATAATACTATTTATTATTGAAATATTAAAAATATTTATGTTTAATAATATAAATATTTAAAACATTTAAAATTAAAATATCAAAAAACTTTTAATGTAAATATTTTAATGGTCTTCTTGCCAATATTCTTGTAATGTTCTTGTAGATGACAAAACAACAAGATATAGGCCTGAACTCAATAATATTAGTTAGAGACTAGCTTTTAGGCACCAATACAATAATGATTAAATTAAAAGCAGGTAGCAATTCCTCTTGTTCAAAAAAGTATGCTATAGCTTCAATGACATCTTCTCCACTATTGTCCATGCTGTTTTAAAAAAAATGTGCATTATATCCATCAGGCCCTGGTGTTTTATCGTTGTGCTAAGCAAAGATTGCCTGCTTTATTTCTTCTATAGTAACATTTTGTGATAATGCTACTTGCTACATTTTAGTTAATAAAAACTTGTAAAATACTAGCCAGTAGTTTCTTTGTACATCCTTCCACGTCTGTGTCAGTTGTACCCAACAATTTCTTGAAAAACCCTATTTCGTCATATGAGATTTGTGAAAATGTCTCCAACCTATTTCTTTCACTATCATATAATATCTTTGTTTCACTTTTCCTCTACTTAGTAACTATTAACTTATGAAAAAAGTTTGTATTCTGATCACTTTCTTAAATCCATCTAATCCTAAAATTTTGCCTCCATAAACTTTCTTCATCTGTTAGTAATTCATAAAGCTCTTGTGAAAGTTTCTTTTCTTTATTAACAATAGCTGCATGTAAATATGTGAGTGCAGCTATTTATGCTTTTGCCAACTCTTTCCTCTTTGTTTTCACTCTTTCTACAAGATCTCCGTATTGTGAGAAATTAAATTTCTGAGTTCCTATTTCAACCTTTTTAATTTCTAGTTTAGGATGGCCATAAGCTTACCATTCACAAGTATTTTCCAAGATTCCTCCACTATCTTTAGGAAATAAGGGTGCTTTGTCCAAAAATTGAAGAACTTAAATGGCTTT